CACCTTGCACAGCTTCGTGCCCGGCAGAGCACTGTCCCGTTCCCCCCGCACCCCCTGCCCCATCTCCCCACGGGCATCCCCCAGGCAGATCTGCAGGAGCAATTAAACCAAATGAAAAGCTAATGAGGAGAGAGCAATGTAGGGCAGGAGAGCTCCCCTGGAGGTGCCTGACTGAGTCCAGGGCTGGCAGGAGGAGATAAGTGCATGGTTAGGAACCGGCAGGTTAATAAGTGACCCTAGCGCAGAGTAATGAGTTTACCTCCTCCCACCCTCAGATAAAAGCCCCATGAGGATGAGGGCAGGAAGGTTTTAAATCAGGTTTTTAATTGCATGATGCCGTTGGTGTGTCTGACCTGCTGATGGAGGGGTCCGGAGCAGGCTCGGGAGGTGTCGGCCAGGGGGTTTTGCTGGGCTGGGCACCGAGCAGCTCCTCGCATCTGTAGGAAAGAGTTGTGGTTGTCAGAGATAACCAAACGATGATGCAGGATTACCCTGGGTGCTCGGCAAAGGAGAGCCAGGGTCCTCCCCGCTCCATCTCTTGCTGTGTCTGCGCGGGGAGGGGACGCTGCAGGATCGATCCCAGCTCACTGGGATGCGCACGGGGAGGAAGGGGCTCAGGCTGGGGAGGGAGTGAGGAGGAGGATGCTCTGCTCTGCTCTTTGGCGGTTTCTCCAGCCGGGATCAGAGAGCCATTAAGCACTTTGGGTGAGCGGCGACTAAAACCGGCTTTTTTTGGATAAAGGGCAAGAGCCAAGCGCGATGGTCAGAGCGCACGGCGGGGAGGGCCACGTGGCAGCTCCCTGCCTGAGCCCAAGGTCACATCAACTCTCGGCCTCAAATCCTTCCCCTCGGATGAAGGAAGCAGCATTGCCACCCGTGACCCGGATCCTGGGTGGGCTGGCAGCAGCGGGGAGGGTGAGGGTCCCAGGTGGGCTGGGGGAGCAGCAGGCTCCGGGCTGCCCGGCGCGGGAGCGAGCAGCACTGAGCTGACCTGGGCTCTGCACCCTTCCGTGGTTTCCGACGGAGGAGCAGCTCCTGTCTTCCGAGACAGAAAACCTACACCCGCGTTTATTTAGGCTGTCTGCTCTGCAGACTTACACAGCCCTGCTTTGTCTCACCCGTTCAAAATCTCACTTCTGGAGCCCTTTACGTGGGTGGCAGGCTCTGTCACCGGTCTTGCCCTGTGCCGGCGGCACCGCCTGAAGGGATGCTGCAGGGCTGGGACCACGCTTTCCCACCCAACCCGCAAGCTGCCGGGGATGGATGGGAGCAGTGCAGCACATCTGGGGCAGGGACCTGCTTCCCCCTCATGCAGCACCTCAAAAAGACACAAAACTCCTGGTGTGATGGGGGCTGACTGTGAGTGCCCTCCACCACGGTTGCCCTTGTCACCAGCCTTGAGCTGGCAGAGGTCACCTTGCCAAGCATCAGCTGCCTGCCCACAGTCATGGGTCACTGGTGTGGAAAACGCAGCATCTGTGTAAAAATAAAGGGATTTGAGGCTTGCAGGTCCCGAGGAAAAAAAGCACAGGGTTACTGCGAAGCGGGATACCCCGGGAAATACCTGCATGGCCCTTCCCCACGCAGGGCATCAGGCCTGGGAGCACTGGTGTCACACAGGCTGGAGCATCGCTGGAGCGGCAGGGCTGGGAGCACTGGTGTCACACAGGCTGGAGCATTGCTGCCTGCCCTGCTGCTGAGCTGGTGGCTGGGGGAAAAGCTCCACACCCATCCATGACCTGTTAGCAAAGAACTGAAGAGCTTTATCTGCTCAGTTACCCATTATCCTAATTAGTTTATTAGCTGCTTCCCACTGGAGAAGGCGGCACTCACTTCTCATGCCACTAATTAGCGGCACAGGTAGAGCATCTCTGCAGCAAAGGAGGCTGACGGCCTCTCTCTCTGCTACCCCTGGCCTCGCTCTGTTTGCAGAGCAACGAGGCAGCGGTTAGGGAGCATCGGGGGAAAACACCCGCAAACTGGAGGGTGCTGGGACAGAGGTGCAGCGCTCGGTATCTCTATGGCATTCGTCTTCCCAAACCAGCCCCGTTTTGCAGCGTGTCCCGAGCTCACCAGGGCTTTCCTGGGAGGCTGGAAGCACTGGAACAGGCTGCCCAGGGAGGTTGTGGAGCCTCCTTCTCTGGAGATATTCAAGACCCGCCTGGACGCGGTGCTGTGCAGCCTGCTCTGGGTGACCCTGCTTCGGCAGGGGGTTGGGCTGGGTGACCCA